TCACGTTGAACTTGTCAATGGGAAAGGGACTCGGACAGTCCAGTGAGAACGAGCGGACGAATCGTTGGGAATGCCTCTTAATCGCGAGTTTTATCTTGTTCGCGTGGGACGTTTCAGAATGCTAGTTTACCATTGCGGATCGTTTGAACGTCCGATCGATAATCGTTCGAGAGGATTGGCCGGATTTCAATCGACAGGCTCATGGAAAGGGAAAATCGAGTTTTGATGTATGTTTCGTTGTTTTATGCGTCACGAATGATTCGTTTAGGAAAATGTTATCATATGAATCATTATTCTCGTTGATACTCGGTGGTAGCAGTTGTGGAACGACCTGTATGTTTCTCGCTCGGCAAACTTAGGTGCGCGCCAGTTTTAATCTTTCTTTAATGCTCGATTTCCTGTTTGCAATTTCTTGGAAAACAAGTATTCGATTTGACAAGTAATCCATTGAACATCATTCGAACACTCGTACTGCAATAATCTTTCTCAATGCACATTTAAATATGACTCAATCAGGTTAACCGCCCCAACGTCAAACAATAATAATAACAATAACAACGATAACCTCATTTCTCGAAGTTAACCCTTTGCACTCGGAAGTTTACGAGGAACATTTAACATTTTGGCGATATTCTTTGAGACTAAATCGAAGGAGGAACAAAGTTATTTTATTCCAATGTTTCACGTATCGAGGCGTTATACAAAGTTCAACGTTAATACTAGAACTACTAGATAGGTCAAAATGACTCATTCCTAAATTCTTTTACAATCATTTAAAAAACAATAGATCCTTCTCTAAGAAATTTCTAAAGTAATTGTTCTGATGCATTCTTGGGGTTTCTATAGAAAAATTATGAAAAGTCAACTCGACTTCGTAGATCTAGTGTTAAATATCAAATTCTATTTCACTGTGTCAAACCAGTTGCTGACTGAGTCACCCCTCGAGTGCAGAGTTAAACATACACCTGAAAATTTCGATAAACCCAACATCTCAATTCACTAACATCTATCGTCCGCCATAAGTTATTCAATAAAAAATTATTGCAACGGGTGTCAAGCAGAAAATTCCGAAAGAAATTGTTTTATCAATACGCAAACAAAGTTTCGAGCGATAGAAGTCTCTGTAGACGCTCTCTTATGGTTTCTATAGAAAATTCTGAAAAGTCAACTCGACTTAGTAGTTCTACTGTTAAATACTAGATTTTATAAGAATCACCCCAGGGAGTTAAACATCCACCTAAAAATTTCGTTAAACGCATCAACATTTCAACGTAGCAACATCCATCACCCACCACGAATTATTCAATAGAAAATTATTGCGACGGACGTCAAGCCTGAAATTCCGAAACGAAATCAGGGCCGACGTAATACGAGCCGTTTGATTCGCGAGCGGAGGGCTCTCGATGATTAAGCGGCCGCGAGAGCTAGAGAGGGAGGGAATCAGTGAAAAAAGGAGAAGAAGAAGAAGACGAGGAGAGGGTAGCGCCTGGGGGGGTAGGGTGCGGGCCGAGAGGGGGATGGTATAATCAAGCGGACAAGGCACAACGGAGTCAGATTAATGCGGTGTCAATTGATAAAGTGGAGCAGCCTCAAGTACGCGGGGTTTCGAAGACGTTTTCCTAATTTTTGGCATGTGCTCAAGGCTCTCCTCTCAGGCCCGACTCGACTCGGTTTACGCGAATCGCCGTTCGGGAGCCCTTCGGATCGTATTTTCAGACTTTATGACGAAAATAATTCGCGGACTGAGTCACTCCAGTGACGTTCGCTCGCTAGCTCGCTCGCTCGGACGGACGGGCTCCGGGAAATCGATCTGCCAGGGCCTCGATCGTCCAGCGAAACAGCGGATCGATGATTAGCACGTAGCAGATGGTTCCTGCGCGTTGATCCTGAGAGCGAAGTCCTCTCGTTAACGCTTGACGAGCGCCGGATTAGTTTTCACTTGGACGGACGTTTGTTTTCTTGTTTATTCATTTATTCCAGCAATTGCGGTCAACGAAATGCGCGAATTCAAGGCGCCGACCGCGGGGATCTGTTCTGTTTTGGTGTTTGTTATTTAACCCTATCGAGTATAAATAAGACGATAAAATATGAGGCACACCGTTAGAATATTCTTTAGATTTATGTTCACTCTTTACGGGCGAATGTTTAAACTGTACAGAATATTTTACAGATATTAGATTGGACGTTGAGTGGTTAACCCTTTGAACTCTGTGGGCTCCAATATTGCACCAGGAATGTTAGATGTTTTAATGAATCATAAGAAACTACTCGAGAATT